TGTTTTCTAAGGTTCTGTACTGTCCGCCTCACCTTTCCTGCTGTTCATTATCCTCTTTCTTCGACTTCCAATCCTGTTGATGCCTTTACACTCCACTCCTGTTTATCTTGCCCCTCTTTACTGCTAACTGTTTTATTAGTTGTAACCGCGCATCCCTCAGTACCTCAGTAAATTCTGATGTTAGTCATCATTTGTCAACAAAACCTGTCTGTTAAACGCGTATCTTTGTCTCGCTAAATTTCAACGTTGTACTACATCCTACTGGGACTATCCCTATCTTCGCCTTTGCGGTCACCATATAGTTATCAACTTGAGTCTCATACTGAGGAAAATCGGCTTCCTCTTTCACAAAAGACGTCCCCTCACCGTTATCCACCTACTCGCATTTCACTGAACTTCATTTGTCAAAGATTTGAACACTGCAATTGTCGGCGGTGTGGAGGCGTAGTTTCATCCAATTTTCCATATTTTCTTGATCGGATTCAATGTAAGGCTATTCGTATCAAAGACCCATCCCTAACACGTAACTTGCAGTCATTAGCTCACCGTCAAACAGACGTTCCCCTATCCTTATTCTATCAAAACTAATTTGTTTGTTTATTTTGTTTTACCGAACTAGCCTCTCACAAACGGCCGGAAAACAGTCCAGGTGATCAACCCTAGGTATCTCATGGCGAACTTTTAATCGTTCTTTTCCAATGACAGAACCGCTGTGAAACATTTTCTCTTTCGGTCTTCCCTTCAACCCACACTATCCTTATTTTCGAATACAGAACTGGTTCTCGCTTGGATGTTCCCTTAAACCTGCCCTATATATACAGAATATCCCTGGGTTATGGGGTTTACTCTTCTTGCTGCATTGTTCTCGGGTATTAAAAAATAGATCGGAACACCACGCCACGCCACAAACGTCTTCTTCAGCGCCAACGCAAAGTAAAAGCCAACCTAAGTGAGATGTTGAACCGATTATCGGCATTCATGAGCAGAAACTCGTAAGGAACATTCTCACAAACTACCCTAATAACATCAGTCCGAGCAACAGGTCTTTAGCAGATCTACTCCGGTGAAGCCAATATACAGTAAGATGACAAAACTGATACTGACAGCTACGTGCAAAAGCAGAGATAGTACACAAGCCCATCAGTCAAGCAGTGCAATCTGTGTACAAACAGAAGCAGCGCATTCCCTGAAAACGCGCCAAAATGCAACCTGAAAATATTGCGCCATTCGGAAGACCTGATATTTTGACCGTGGCAAAATCAAACGCGTTCTTGGCGCTTGTTCTTAAGCGAAAACTCAAACTTGTTTAGGCCTTCGGCATTTATTTATATGATGAGTTCGTTCAAACGTTATACTTGAATGACAAAAAGCTGGTCTTTTATTTTTATTACACTTTGCCACAATAAGAGGCACACTACAAAATTACCAAAAACATTTCTAAGCTGTAAGCCTGGCCGACATGGCATTTCACAACGATCTCAATTGGCTTTTAGTTATACGATCTTCTGCCGGCATGATGATGATCAGTCTTGCGCCCAAACCATCAAGTGCAAGGTTCGTATCCTGCGATTGCCAATAACATTTAGCCGCGCTGTCAACCGGGTTAACATCACGTTTGGTTTCTTACGGATCCAAGCTTCCCCACTTCTAGTCTCAGGATTTAGGTTGTCGGTCCGGATATCTGAACAGATTTTCGTGGTTGTGAGATTCGTCTTGAGACATGGTATTGTTGTAGATGGAAACTTTGATCTGCTTGATGGTCCTCGTACTACTCGCGGTTACGTGTATCATGTATATTCATATCCACCATTTCCCGGTTGTAGTGCTATACCTGTACTCGCTACTTGAGTAAAGCCTAGGATACGATCTACCTATTCGCTCAAGTTTGGAGCAGTTAGGTGATTTTGCAATAGACAACAGTGATGAAGAACACTTTATAAGAGAATGCTCAGAAACGTAAGATTTCAGGGGGGCAAAGTTAATGACAATTTGTCTAATGTGAAACTTCCGCATTCTCATAGTTTCAATCACAAAACCGCCTTATCGTCAACCGACTGTGATCACAGCCGTAAACGGATATCGAATTGGTTTTAAATGCGCAATGAGCTCAATTTCCATGGATAACACCATAAACAGGTTGATCATTCTCGGACATCACTGAGAAACTATTCCAGTATCACCAGCTGATCAAAGGTTTTATTATGCCTAACGGAACTATCCACCGACAAATGTATAGCCTCATCTCGAAGACTTCAAGCTTCATTCTGATAATACTCTGATCCGAAAGAAAGAAAACCACGTAGTCCAGCCAGAACCTCATTGGGTTTTGTGCTCTCCAAACTGTGCTAACAATTTCGTTGTTTACATCTTTTAATTCAGATAGTACCAAGAAGTATTGTGTCTACTCACTTCCACACAATCATTTTTATTTCGCTACTCATCGATTTGCAAAATTAACGATCGTCTAAACTGAACTAATAATGATGATGACTACCTTTTCGAATACCTCCAGACAAATGTTACCAGTGTATGACGATCAGTAAAAGGGATGAACCAACAGCCACGAGAACTCATTGTTCACCGATGGTAAACGACAACTTAGGACTTAAGACATGTAGAGGTGAAGCACATAATCATCATCATCATCGCACAGCGAAATATAGGGAAGCGAATTTCACTGATCGCTGCCAAATTAGCAATGCACAGGCATTGGGGTTTGATGGATGGGTGTTCAGCCATTAGGTCCGAATAGCGTAGGTTTGGTAATGCACCCGAACACAGTGAATATGTACACGACCAAAATAACGGTTGCAGGGTTCGAATCCGGAACTTCGGGGCCAGTGACCTGAACCGCTTGATCTCCGAAAGCATCAGTATGGTCAGGGTGTCTTGGGTCGTGGCCGGTCACCATGCTCCTGCACCTAGAGAAATGGTTATATATGATCAAGCGTCTCAAATAGCCTCTGCTGCAGAGGCTGTACCCACTACCTTCCTGTGGTGGTGTTTCCCCACAAAAGTGATGGGACGGAAAGCCAACATCTGGGGCTATAACCGGGTTGGTGAACCACTGGCAGTTCACCTAGGGAAGTTGCCTAAAAACTCTGATTCCAAATCAACCACGAAGAGGCGTACAAACCACACCTTCCTGCTTGTGGTAGTGGTCACCGGCTCGATTGATCATCGAGGTGTATTGGGCACCCTGAACTTCTGACCTTATCCCAGGGGCCTCATCCGATGAACTGGGCACGGATTGCAGCTTTCACACACCGTCCCACTGTCTTGCGGGTCACGCTTTGTATAGTCGAAGGTTCTGGTTGTTAATTCCTCAAGAAAATTCACCTGCTTGGTTTGGGCAATCGGGCAGTATTCTGCCCACAAACAAATGATGGAACTCCTGTTGGGTTAAGATTATTGTACCATGATTTGTTTGGCACAGTCTGAATTCAAACGTGTGAAAGACAATAATATCAAGAGGAAAATTTTGAAGTGGCCTTTAGACAACAACTTCAACTTGCAAAGTATACTTAGGTCTTCTTAAGGTAGTAAACACTGCAACCTTGCAATCATTGAAATACGTTGAAAGAAAACTAAAAAAGATTATTAGTATTCGCCGTTGAGTCGATTAAGTCTAAATAGCTTCTCTACACTGTCATCATCATCATTGTACAGCGTAATACAGTGAGGCGAACTTCACTGATCTCTACACTGTCGATGAAATGGACTTCTACTAGCGCTATAAAATCAATTATTCAGTAAAGATAATAACTCTACTACACATTACTGTATGCGGTCATTCCATGAATAAGCTAAAACGAAATAACGTAGCGAGTAATGCTTAGTAGTATGGCTTGCAAGAAGCGTAGATCCTGTGACAAAAATGATGAAGACAATGTACCGACTAGAACAGATGTGCCTAGCATAAAGGTCACGGAAATTGTTTTATTCGTATGGCGATGTCGAGAGTAGAAAGTGAGTGAGAAAAAACAAGTCATTTTTTACATATGAGATGAAATGCACAAAGCGGATCAAACATTAGATGGGCAACTGTCGAATAGGTAGATATATAGATAGACAGGTGGACAGATAGAGACAGGTGGGTATGNGGGTATGGAAAAGATGTATGCATATATATATACTTATGTACAAGGAAAATTTGGGTGCATGATTGGTGACTGGTGAGTGTGTGGAAGGGCACCGTGATCTAAGGTGAGTTTCGGGGCTCAGGAAATGCACCGGCTCTAAGCGAATGGAGCTGTTGAACAAACACGCGTACGGAGAGACAGGACAGATGGGATTCAGAAAAATAAATGGAAACGTGGAAATCGCGAAGTTGGAGGTAGTTGCATTGGGGGTAAACATTGTGGCGGTTGCTATTGTTGCTGATTGGCTAAGAGTGATACTAACACTCCATGTACACAAAAGTCAATTAAGTGCAAATAATTCATTGTGAGTGACGGGGATATGATAATCATTAGACAACAGTGGTCCATGTCTGTTATAAGAGATCAACCAAATGGGGATGTACGAAGCATAGGAACTTGTGGGAATGAGAACAGAACGCAAAGAAAAGAAAACATGTCGATGGATAAATGCGAACCAAATGAAACCGGAGTAGAGGGCAATATTTACATTGAATAGAGCTACAGCTTGTGGAAAACAAGTCAAGTTAGTAACAGACTTTTTAATGTACCGTTAACCGGACGGGATCCCGACGGATGACTGGTGTAATACGCTAAAAGTCATGACTGCATATTATCGAACCAAACACAGTAGACCGAACAGGATGCAACTCACCTGTCGGATCTCCAAGATAGGTACTCAAAACCTAAGTGATTTGTGTTGGCAAACTTCTTCTGCTGCTTCGCGTTCCCAAGGGGACAGTATCCATGACGCCACATTGTTATAAAAATAAATTCTAAGAGTGAAAATTGATTGCCCACCGGCGGATCCTGGCAAGCCAGAGGCCAATGACGTCCTCTGAACAGGTGAACTTTGCCATGTTAGGATCCAACCTTGGGAGGTACTTGGATGGAGGACGCCGCGGTTGAGGAAGAAGGTGGATTAAGGGAATTCGCAGCAGATGACAGTGTGAGTGGGTGCATCGTAGACGAAGTGGCGGCTGCTGCTGCTGCCGCAGCCAGATACTGTTGCTGTTGCTGTTGTTGTTGCTGTTGTTGATGAACTTGCATATACTGTTGCGATGGGTGCGTGTACTGAGACGGAACTACGCCTGGCATGAACTGGGCGGCAGCAGACGGGAAAAGTCCGATCGCGGCCGCAGCAGCTGAATGAGCGGGAGTCATTAAACCCTGATGATGTTGCAGCATTGCTGTGTGCTGCTGCATCAGTTGTTGTTGCTGCTGCTGTTGCTGTAGCTGATGATGCAATTGCATTACTTGTTGTTGATGTTGCAGCATCTGTTGGTGTTGACTCTGTTGCTGTTGTTGTTGCTGCTGCTGCTGTGGTAGCTGTGATTGGTAGAATTGAAACCCGGAGCGCACGTGGTGCGGCGATTGCTCCTGTTTTGTAGCGGCTTGTAGTTGCTGCTGGGTTGCATCTGGTTTCGTGACCTGAAGCTGTTGTTGCCCAAATTGTTGATTAGCTTGGTGAGTTGTTTGCTGCTGTTGTGCAGCCCGTGGCTGAACAAAAGCTGAGGCGGTGGTTGCATGGGTAGTAGAGGGGTAAGAAGCAATGTTCTGATAATGTTGCTGTTGATTTTGGAATTGGCGTCCAAAAGCTGCCGCTGCCATAACAGCGGCGATGTTTCCAGTGGTCACAGATGTTGATCCCATGTTTGAAGCTGAAGTTGAAGCAGACGCTGCAGAACTGCGCGAGGGTGAGGTAGACGATGAAGCCGGATAAGCCACACTTCCCTCTTGTGCAACTTGACTTCCATTACTCCCATCATACATAGGAGTACTGGGCACTGAACAAGTGTTTGCCGAAGCAACCGCTTGTGGTGTGATGAACGAAGTCAGCGCATTTGAATTGGCGTTACTGCTTGCACCAACAAAGAAGGGCATCATAGATGCCTGTTGGTATGCTGCAGTGTTCAAGACCTGTTGAGGCTGTTGTTGTTGTTGCTGCTGCTGTTGATACAGTGGCACGGGAACAGCAAATGTCGATGCTTGAGTTGCAGGGCGAGTGGCGGCAGAAAACAATCCTGGATGGTACTGGGCTATACCTGCTAGTGAAGCCAAAGTAGAGTGGTGTTGGTTAGGCAGCCGAATGCTTTGACACGTAGGGATTTGGAGTCCAAAAGCAGATGCGTTGTTGCTTGTGGTCGATTCGTTATTAGCGGCTTCGGTTGTTTTAGCATCATTTTGCGTAGTTGTTGTAGTTGTGGTAGTGGCGGTGGTGTTGTTGACAGTTTGAGAAGGAAACGCGAGTGAATTCACCAAGTTAGAGGGATTAGCAGCCGAAGAGACGACGGAACTCGAATTTGAACCAAAGCCGCCGTTACTCATTGACAACACTGTCGAACTGGTCGATGTGGTAGATAGAGCCGAAGCGCTTGAAATGGCCAAACCGAAAGGATTGCTCATCGAGACATTTGTGGAATTAGCAGTAACTGCAGCGGCAGCGGAGGCAGCAAGAACGGCGGCTGCGGCCGCGGCAGCTGCTGCTGCAGTTGCACCTTTTGATTTTCTTCCTCCGCCAGTCCTAGGTCGCGGGCCGTATAAATGAGTTCTCTCGTGCAAACGTCTTTTGTCGGATCGGGCGAAGCACTTTCCACAATGGCTACACTCATAAGGCTTTATCTTTGTGTGAATTCGCTCGTGTATTTTTAGTTTGTCCGAACGCGTGAAGCGTTTTGGGCAGAATGTACATGCGTAGGGTCGAACACCGGTGTGTGTGCGGTGATGGATTTTCAATTTGTCTGATCGCGTGAAACGCTGCTTGCATGTGGCGCACTCAAACGGTTTTACATTCAAGTGCGAAATTTCATGCAAGCGCATTTTATCCGCACGTAAAAACGCCTTACCGCATATTGAACATTTGTGTGGCCGGATATCAGAATGAGTAAGTTTGTGATTCTTTAGGGACTTCATCCCCGAATATCGCTTTAAGCACTGATCGCACTGATAAGGTTTGACGACAGTGATATCTGCATGCGGTGGCGGAGGTGGATCACCTAACGACGGATCTAATTTTAATAGTATTTCTTCGGGAAGCGTGGGTAATGGA